GCAATGCTCATTAAATTAGGTGAATAAAATGCCCCTTCCTTCTGTTCTGTTTTGTTTTTCCGCTTGTGTGAAATTGGAACTGTGATGTCCTTTGGCTGTGTCCCCACCCAAATCTTGAATTGTAATCCCCATAATCCCCACATGTCATAGGACGATGTGGTGGGAGGTAATTGAATCATAGGGGCGGTTTCCCCCATGCTGTTCTCATGATAGTGAGTAAGTTCTCACGAGATCTGATGGTTTTATAAGCATCTGGGGTTTCCCCTGCTGGCACTCCTCTCTCCTGCCACTGTATGAAGATGTGCCTTCCACCATGATTGTAAGTTTCCTGAGGCTTCCTCAGGCAGGTGGAACTGTGAATCAGTTAAACCTCCTTTCTTTATGAATTACCAGTTTCAGGTATTTCTTCATAGCAGCATGAAAACGGACTCATACAAACTGTCTTTAGAAGCTTGGTAGAAGTCGTCCATGTAATTATCTGAGTGCTAGCACTCACCTGTAAAGTTATCTGGGGCTGGAAAATCCCTGTGGCAATCTTTTAAACTACTAACTCAATTTCCTTGATAAAACTATTCAGACCGCTACGCACTTAATTCACTTTTGGCAAGGTATACTATTTAACAATTTTTCCACTTTTATAAGGTTTATATTTTATCTGGGATTTATAGAGTAATCCATTTTATCTTGGATTACTAAAAACTAACAAAATTTTTCATATTTTCTAATTTTGATATCTCATACAATTGTGATTATCCCAACACGTTATTCTCTAATATTGTCAATTTTGCTTTCTCTTTTTCATCTTAATCAACCTTGCCAAAATCATGCTCCTTTTGCCTATCTTTTTTAAAACATCTGGCTTTATTAATGCCTTGCTTTATCTCTGCTATTGATGAAGCTTCAGGGCCTTTGTCATAACTGTTGCCTTCTTCCAACATTTATGAGGTTGGGTCTTGCTCTTTTTCTTACATCTGAAGGTGTAAACTTCATTCATTAGCTTTTAACTTTTTTCTGTTCTTATATTTGTTTCTAAAGCGTAAAATTCTCATATAAGTCCTGCTCTACTGGGTCCTCTGAGTTTGGATGTGTTATTTACTTCTATTGCCTTCTGGTGGCGTCAGTGGGCACAGTGAACACGCCCCACCCTCTTGACATGAACATGTGATGTCCTACTGATCACACCCCAGGGTCCCCACTGTGCTTTTTACTTAACTTTTGTGTGGAACGCATAGATTGTATTATAACCATTATATATAATTATAACCATTGGTCTACATGTCTCAAAACTAGAACTAGAATTTCTTGGGAACACAGTTGTGTTTCTCCCATATATGTATTCAGAGATCCTAGGCCAGCATTGTGCTGGCTCAAAGCAGGCACTTAGGAAATGTTCCTGGAATATACATTTACAATGTAAAATGGGTAAGACAAAGTGTATGTTGATGCAGGAGAAATAAGATGTTTGGTTATAAAGGCACAGAAATGTGTATAAACCACTTCGAAATGTATATTTCTTAATTATATTTAACTTGAAAAGATGCACTTTTTTATATTTAGTGCAAAATGTATATTTATTAATTATATTTAACTTTAAAAGAAGCATCCACTAGGATGAACGGAAATTACACCAGCGTTTAAATTCAGCCATCAACCTGGTCCTTCTCACAGCAAAGTCAAAGGTCAGCACATAATGGTTGTGCATTATAATTTCTCAAAAGCAGCCATCTCACAGGGATGCTGTTTGAATTAGCTAATTGATGACTGCCAAGGGCTTTGGCAAGGCAAGGCTCTGCGTAACTGACAATTACTATTATTATCACAGAGACTAAGATGTTCTGCATTGCTCTGTGAACAAAGGGCCAAGAGATGAATTTGCTATAAGATATAATGTAGCTAACAAAAAAGAAGTGTGAAAAGATAGAACACACAGCATCTCAAGTAGCTGAGATTTGTTTAGAAAGTTGTTTCTGCTTTGTGTTCCTGATAAGGACATCAAAACAGGCAAATAATGGACTTTTTAGATACCCACAAAGACATCCCAAAAGATTGCTCATTTCCTTTGTGTTAAAAATGTGAAACTTTGCATGCAGAAAAGAGTTCTCAAGATTGCCAGAGACTGAGCACAAGTGTTCAGAAGTTAAGACAATAAAGGGACATCTGAAAGACACCTGAGACAAGATAGAGAAAAATATCCTGCTTTAAAGGTGTCATATCCAATGTGTGTATTTTCCTGGACCAAGTTTTTTTTAAAAAATGGCAAACAGATTATTTCCTTCAATAAATTTGAGACATTCTCACCAGGTGCAGTGGCTCACACCTGTAATCTCAGCACTCTGGGAGTCTGAGGCAGGCAGATCGAAGCCAGGAGATCAAGACCAGCTTAAGTAACATGACAAAACCCCTTCTCTATAAAAGATACAAAAAATTAGCTGTGTGTGGTGGTGCACACCTGTAGTCCCAGCTACTCAGGAGACTGAGGCAGGAGGATTGCTTGAGCCCAGGAGGCTGAGGCTGCAGTGAGCCATCATGGTGCCACTGCACCCTAGCCTGGGTGACAGAGCAAGACCATGTCTCAAAAAGTAAAGGTAAAATAATAAATTTGTGGCATTCTTTCTGTCATCCTGGCAGAGAGGATTGGTTGGTTTGATTTGGTTTTATTTTTTCCCTGGGTCATCGGATCATGAGAACATACTCAAGTCTTCAGCCTGAATGAGTGGCTCCATCCCACCTACTGGTGAGGTCAGTTTCTCAGCGCAGCTCATTCCAGCTCGCAGGCCTCACCCTCAGGCCTGTCAGGATTGCTGCAACCTGTCTGGAAGATGAGCTGATGAGCTACTGGCTGGGTTTCCAGTGATACCAAGTTGAGCCCTTTTGTCTGACACCACTGTCTGAAGCAGGGAGAGAGTAGGAGGATGGAGACCAAAATGGGGAATCCAAGGATGGCACAATTAAAAACAAACACTGCGAGGCCACCATGCCCCACCATGCTGGGTCATGGATCAGAGGGTCGGAGAACTGCAGCTGGGATGGTGACATTATTTTTCACGTGAGCTCACATGGAAGGAGCTGAGCATGGCTCCTGGGGGGGTCCCGAATCCTGTGCTGTGATGACTCAGGGGAGCTCTCCCTCCTGCCCCAAGCTCCTGAGCCACCCCCACTGAGGACCACTTTACCAGTGTTCTCCTGCAGTGTTTCCGTGGATCCTTTTTACTTTACCGGGCACTAACAGGGATAGGAATGGGAGAGAGAAGAGAGAAGAAACAAAATCCATGACAGAGCCTTCGTCAAATTCCGTAATTTCAGAGGCTTCGGGGCTTTCCAAAAGGTTATTGTTGAAGGAGCAACGGCTGATTCCGAGAGCCCAAGCCGAAGCTAATTCTACAGAAGTGTTTGCAGCGATATCGTTGGTCTGATTGGTTCAAGAAAAGGCAAATAAAAAAGGCAACAGTTAAGATCTCCGCTACTAACAACATGGAAACGTCGCTTTCCCACACCCTGAAGCTGTGGCACATTTTCCTCTCGGGGTAGCCAATTAGTAGCATTAATGGGACAGGACTCCGATTAATCATGGCACAAGCCACCCCCTAATGCATTCCATCCATTATTCTCGGCCTTCACTCATCCAGCAGAGTCTTCCAGCTTCCAAGGAAATAATAAAACGGGGCGATCTGAACGCCTCTCATCTCCCTCTTCATCTCATCCACCTCCGGCCGGGTAGTTAAGGAGCCACAAAATGGACAAATGCCAGGGGCTATAAAGGAATTCGAGAAGGATCAGGATAATGGGCAAACTGGCGATGGGATTAATTACAGAATGCACTTACTTTCCCTGGGTGAATTAGCTATAAACCATATGCCTTCTGCCTGCCGCCATGGCCTTCACCTATTTTATCCTCAAAAAGAGATAAGCAGAGAAAATTGCAGCTTTGCAAGAGACATGTGCCCCTTCTTTGGCACTAAGGATCAGCAGGTTGCAATAACACACTCCAGACAGGGCTCCTCAGGCTGCACAGTGCATGTGAGTGGCCAGGAGAGCCGACAGAAATGCAGATTCCGAGGCAGTGAGTTGGGGACCGGGCCAGGTGCCACATGTCTGTGGTCTTTTAGCTGCAGCACAAACCAGACTGAAAGTTCTACAGCTTCCAGTACATCCATACACATACCATGTCTGGAAAATATGTATGGAACGGAGGAAAGAACAGTCATGGAAAGAGAGCCACTGGCGACTTTTACTTCTCTGTGCAGAATCCTGTAGCCCAGCCGAAGACCACGAAGAGGTTCCTGATGAGAATGTGTGGCTCTATCTGCCTGGTCACTGCTGAGCCGACAATGAGGATTCCCATCCAGCACTCAGGGCATGATGACACCACGCTCGCGGAAACGCCCCAGAACTCCTTCTACGTCCGTGGCAAAGGGCAGGGCTCACGTTCCAAAATGACTCTGGATCCAAGGGGGCTTCTGGTTCACTCCAATGCTGATTTGTTCCCTGGGTTCTCACAGCCTGAGTTACGTTCAAGAAGAGTTGGGTGCCCTAACTCGTGCACATGGGGGCTGCTGGGGGCCTTTCTAACCCTTTCATTCTTGTGGTTTCATAGCCCAAAGACATCGGGGATTTCCCATGCTCACTCGGATGAAATACCTACCATTCTTGGGTTTCGGTTTTTTGTTGTTGTTTTTTTGGTTTTTTGGTTTTTGGCTTTTTGGTTTTTGTTTTTTGTTTTGAGATGGAGTCTCGCACTTTCGCCCGGGCTGGAGTATAATGGCGCAATCTTGGCTCACTGCAAGCTCTGCCTCCTAGCTTCAAGCGATTCTCCTGCCCCAGCCTTCCAAGTAGCTGGGACTACAGATGCCCGCCACCACGCCCAGCTAATTTTTGTATTTTTAGTAGAGACGGGGTTTCACCATATTGGTCAGGCTGGTCTCGATCTCCTCACCTCAGGTGATCTGCCCACCTCGGTCTCCCAAAGTGCTGGGATTATAGGTGTCAGCCACTGTGTCTGGTCCATACTTGGGTTCTAGGTGGATTATTTCGTAGAAGAAAGGTGAAACTATTCTTAGCATTTTATCTACTATAGACAAACTATTATTTTTATGTCTTTTGCAGACCTAATTACCATAGTAAACTCTTTTAATAAGCTTCCTGTTATGGAACATATATTTAACCAACAAGTAGGTTATTTAAATAAGTGCCAAATAGATATCTAAGCAAAATCATTCCATACACAATAAATAAATACATAAACGGGACCCAGTATTAAAAATGCATTTAGCCATTTAAAGCTTTTAACTAGTATTTAAAATAACCGAGAATTCAAGTCCCTGTCTCTAATTTGGCTATTTTTATAAATTTACATCTTTAAGCAAAATAACATTTTCTCCTGCATCGAAAATCACACGTAATGGACAATATTAATCATGTTAATACCACAGCACCGCAGGCTGAAGCAGAAATTCTACCATGCCTTTGAGACAGGCTCTCGGCGCAATCGATTATCGTGTGTGTTTGTACAATGTGTCCCTAATGACAGCACCATCTCTTCGGCCTGAGGTTCTCTTACTCTCCACCACACTTGACACCTTTGAAGGAAGTAGGCTTCAGCCCTGAAGGATGGTGTTCAAGACCCCACACTCCAGGGGCCGCATTCAGGCTGGCTGTGGCTGTGGGCACCTTTCCTGGGGCACCAGGGTCCGTGTTTCCCTGAGCTGTCCGGGGTGACCGGCCCCTGAGCTGTCCGGGGTGACTGTCCCCTGAGCTGTTGGGCATGTCTGGCCCCTGAGCTGCCCGGGGGTGACCAGCCCCTGAGCTGTCTGGGGGTGTCCAGCCCCTGAGCTGCCTGGGGTGACCGGCCGACAGCCACTGCTCGGGAGTCCTGCCGTGGACTCACTGCCCATGGCCCCAACCAGCAGACCAGGGTGGAATGAGATGATGGGTATCTCAGCCAGGGACTCTGTTAGAGATTAGAGACCACAAAACCCTTCATTCTCCCCCAGGACCTTCCTGAAGCCCTGTCGCCCCTCTGACAAGACAGCGAATTGTCCTTCTTGGCGCACTCCCTTCAGGAATTCCTCTTCCAAGCTGAGCCTGACTGTCTCCACCTGTGGAGGGGACACAGACTGCACCCCCTGTCTCAGGTTTCCGGGGCTGCTGACTCTGGATCCTAAGAGAATGGGCGAAGACGGCATCTGCTTCTCTGGCACCCTGAGCTGTAAAACAACCCAAATTCTTAAGTTAACAATGTTTCAGAAACTAATGAAATAAAGTGATAATTGAAAAAAAAAAGGCTTATATGAACTCGGAGAGAATTTGTTCTATTGATATTAGCACAGTGCCACCTAATGGAAATGTGAAATTAATGTATAGTCTTGAAAATTTAGAAGATCACAAAACACCCTATCAAGTTATACAGAAAGCACTTTTCCTCCATTTGTGTACTCTTTTTCAAGAAAATAATTATCTGTATGCTTTAAATGTTTACAATTTTAGTTGGACAAAAATATACACAGTCCAGACATTCACAGAATTCTTCTAAGCCACCATGAAAAGATACTCAGAATTTTTATTTTTGTTTTGCTTTTTTGTAAAACACACAAATATAGAACTTGACATTTTTCTCCATGTTTTAAAAATACTGGGCTGGAAGCGGTGGCTCACACCTAGAATCCCAGCACTTTGAGAAGCCAGGGTGGGTGAATCTCCTGAGGTCGGAGTTTGAGACCACCCTGGCCAACATGGTAAAGCCTGGTCTCTACTAAAAATACAAAAATTAGCCCGACATGGTGGTGGGTACCTGTAATCCCAACTACTCAGGAGGCTGAGGCCGGAGAATCGCTTGAACCCAGGAGGCAAGGGTTGCAATGAGCCGAGATCATGCCAGTGCACTCCAGCCTGGGCAACAGACCAAAACTGCTTCTCAAAAAAAAATAAAATAAAAATAAATACTATCAATGGGGTACTCTAGTATCTTAAAAACTTTATTTTAAGAAATACCACAATTAGACAGGGCATGGTGGCTCATGCCTGTAATCCCAGCACTTTGGGAGACTGAGGTGGACAGATCACCAAGTCAGGAGATTGAGACCATTCTGGCTAACACAGTGAAACCCCATCTCTACTAAAAATATAAAAAAATTCACTGGGCATGGTGGTGGGTTCCTGTAGTCCCAGCTACTAGGGAGGCTGAGGCAGGAGAATGGCATGAACCCGGAAGGTGGAGCTTGCAGTGAACTAAGATCACGCAACTGTACTCCAGCCTGGGTAACAGAGCGAGACACTGTCTAAAAAAAAAAAAAAAAAAAAAAAAAACCAGTATCACAATTAATTTAGCATAAAATGGCATAGTTTTAAACTGAGTTTTTATTAGAAGTAGATTTTCAAAGATGTTGCAAAAGATTTAGAATGAATTTAAGGATATCTGTCTTTACCCACGTGTTATATAAATGACGATTCTAGGTGAATGTTGTTGTAAAGATCAAGATCATCTGTCACCAAATCTTTACCAGATTTGACACATCTGTCTTTAATCCATTTTAAACCTTCACATGGCCTAGGTGACTCAGAATAAAATATACAACATTTTATTGCATATTGTGTTATTTGTAATTTTAAGCCATTTCCTTTATATTTCAGCAGATATTTCCTGATCACTTTTGGTGTTTAAGTACCTGTGCGAACATAATTATGTGTTAAAATATCTCTCTATGATATGATCACTCTTTAAGGACAAGAACTCCTTTAATACACCTCAGGTTTTCCCAGGTATGAAAGATTCTATTAATCACTGGAAGAAGAGTGTCCGGCCAAGTGCGCGGCCACTCTCAACTCAGCTTCACACACAAGGCACATTCACAACAAACATTCTACCTAAAGTGTCTCTATTTAGCCTTTCATGACAAATGTTCTATTCAAAGAATATTATTCTATTTAAATATTAAATACATAAATTAGAATATTAAGTATTCTATTTAAAGAAATGTTCTATTTGAATGCTCTATTTAAATAGCACATTCATGGCAAATTTAAGGTATCTTTCTATTTAGCCTTTCTATTACTAGAGTTAAAGAAAAAATATAAAAACATGAAATTCTATTTTGGTGTCTAAACCTCTTTATCTGCTTACTCAACACACATCCACATAGAATCACCATGGGCCACCCTGTGCAGATGAGACGAACCCCATAAAAAAATTGAAGAGTAGAAACATTGAAATTGCAACAGAAAAAAGGAATAATTACTTCAATTGTATCGTTATTAAAAAAAACTTCTGTGACAGCAAACATAAAAGTTTCCCAGGCCAAGATAATCTGCCAGAAACTAAGCAGATGGTACTGAGCTGAATTACTTTGTAGTTACTTCTTCTGAGGCAGGTTGGAGCTCATCACAGTTACCTTAAAGCTCCCCATATTGCCAAAACATAAAAATGAGACGCACATTGTCGGTCGGTAGTAGCAGCCTTGCAGCCTCTGCCAACCTTTGATTAAGAGGCTTTCATGTTAAGAACTTTCTATTCCATGAACAATGGTATCCCATAGCTGTTACATGATGCTGATAAAATGTGCAGAAAGATCATGAGGACAGTGTATACCATTAATTTGCGTAATAAGAGCAGGAGTAAGTAGTTCCTATAACACTAGAATGTTTCTGTAAAATACACGGTTTACGTTCTGAAAATTCTGCCTTTAATCGCAGTTTAGTATGGCCTTCTAGGAAACAGGGCTCCTCATACGAATTTTGAAGAATCTCACAAATTTGAAAAAATAAATTAAAAATACACATTAAGCATAGGAAAAGTTTCACATCTAGGAAAAAGGTAAAAGGTAATTCCAAAATGTTTTTTATTAATACAGCAAAAATTTAAAATGTGCTGTAAGCTCAAGATCTAAATGTGGGAGGAGCGCTATATTGAATAAACTGATAAGAAAGAGACTGTAATGCTCATTCCATTTATTTATTTTGGTTTTTTTTTTTTTTTTATGAGATGGAGTCTCCCTCTGTTGCCCAGGCTGGAGTGCAGTGGTGCGATCTCGGCTCACTGCAAACTTTGCCCCCTAGGCTCAAGCAATTCCACTGCCTCAGCCTCCCAAGTAGCTGGGATTACAGGCACATACCACCAGACCCAGCTAATTTTTGTATTTTTGGTAGAGACAGGGTTTCACCATGTTGGCCAGTCTGGTCTCAAACTCCTGGCCTCAAGCAATCTGCCCACCTCGGCCTCTCAAAGTGCTGGGATTACAGGTGTAAGCCACCGTGCCTAGCCTCTAATGTTCATTTCAGAGAAATAAAATGTAACACCACAAAATTCAAAATCAAGTCTCATCCCCACCTTGGGGGATGGCGAGAGAAGGACATTTCCCGTTGCAGAACTTGTCCAGAACAATTGGTCAGTTTCAACCTTGCTAGCCTGGTGTAATCGTTTTTAAAGAGTTAGAGAGGCCGTATCTCAACTCGCGTTCATTCTGAAACATCTACCATAGACAAAGCTGTTCAGAGGAGCCACTTAACCTTTTTCACAAAATAGGTCTGATTTTCCAAGTGAGACCTTGGAGGAGAAGGTGGTAACTGGCAGCCATGTGGTCCCACGGGAAGTACCTGTAGAAGAGAGGCTGTCAACCATGAAGACTGGCCATCGGGGTGCCCAATGTCTCTAAGTATTATGATAACACAGACAACAGGCTTGTGGAAAATCTCTAGAAACAAATGTTTTGGTTTTTCAGAAATGGATTTAATAAAAATGTCCCAATTCTATAATTTAGCATGTCATTCATTGCTTTAAACAACAGATAGGTCAATTCTGTGTTTCCTCTAACATAAAATACATGGAAACACACAGGGTAAAATTTGTGTTGTACTTGCGAGCACAGCAGGCTGACTTCTCCATGTGTTCAACAGCACAGCGAATGCCTTCCTTTCCACTTTTATCTTTCTTGTCAGCGCTAATTTATCTCTTCTGCCAGATTTCTCCCGAAATATGACTCTATTCCACTTCTAATCTCCCAAACCCCAACGTTTAATCCCATTACTCTTTGAGTAAAATGTGTTCCTTTCAACTGAATACTCAGTTATATTTTCATGAGATATTTTCTTGTGTTTTTACCAAGTGTTGCTAACAATTGTGTTGAAAAAAAATCAGTGCCGTATATACTTTAAAGTCAATTCTAGTGGTTGCTTAGTTTTATGTGTTCAAATTTTTTAGATTCCCCAGAATTAGTGTTTGGTTTTAAAACAGAGTTCAGTAGGTCAGAAAAGAGAGATTTTCATGCAAAAATACAACAGATTCAGGAAATCTAACAATATATCTAAATTCTGACTCAATTCAGGCAACGCAGTTACATCGAATGGTGACATAATCAAAGCTAGAGATGCAATGAGGAGTTAGAGAAATGCTGAGCTCTCCAATCTGCTATCACGAGTAATCACTGAGAAAACAGAATGCTCGATTGAAAGATGCTGCGGCTCTGTGACCCTTTCAAAATTATCCAAAGACAGTAAATTAAAGAAGAAATTGCCTTCAGAATGACGGTAGCTCTCACACAAAGAGTCAGGTGTTTTGGCAAAAGCCTGTGGAAACCAGGGATTTCACCCTTTCCTCAGCAAAACTCATGGTCGTCACCACCCCCTTGGCATCAGCCTCAGGACGTAGCTACAATGAATGTCCAGGAAGACCTGGAAGAGCCCAAACCAGGGTTTATTTGTTTATTGTGACAAAATACACTAACACAAAATGTATTGCTTTAATCATTGTAAGTGCACAATTCAGTGGCACTAAGGACATTCACATTGCTGTGTGACCGTCACCAACATCCATCTACAGAACATTTTCATTTTGCAAAACCAAACTCCTACCATTAAACAATAACTCCCCATTCTCCCCACCCCCTGCCCCATGTCACTTCCATTCTGCTTTTTGTCTCTATAAATCCAACGACTCTAGGTACCTAATATAAGTGGGATCATACATCAGTCATCCATTTGTTCCTTTTGTGACTGACTTGTTTCACTTCACACAATGTCTTCAAGGTTTTGCCCTGTTGTAACAAGGGTCAGAATTTCCTTTTTATATAAGACTGAATAACATCCCATTGTGCCAGGGGATGGTGGCTCATGCCTGTAATTCCAGCACTTTGGGAAGCTGGAGTAGGAGAATCCCTTGAACTCAGGAGCTTAAGACCATCCTGGGCAACATAGTGAGACCCCAACTCTACAAAAA